GCCCCCAACCTGTACTGATGCGTGGGGATGCAGTACCCTACACCTGCCCATGTTGAATTTCATTAGGTTAAAGCTTCAAAGCACATAATGTTTTTAAACCAGCATTTAGCAGGCATAAAGACAGATGCACGTGAGTGTTAAACTAAACAAATCAATCTACGGTTGTTACAACATTTATCCTTCGCTTGTGTAAACTGTGTGAGTCTTTAACAAATATCAGTGCCTTTTAAAAATGCTTTTAGTCATCTTTTCTGGACTTACCTCTCCAAATGCTCCTCTGCCTATTACTTTCAAAGACTCAAAGTCTTCCAAACCAAGCCTTGTTCTCTTCAGGCGAAGGAACTCAGTTTCCTTTTGTGCATGTGCTGACCTCCGGATTCTTTTCTAGCGTTTAGGAAAAAAAAAAAACCACAATGAGAATTCTGCTCCACAGAGATCACAGCAATTCCAAGGAAAGATCCCAGATCCCCATTTATAAAAGAAAATAATTTGTATTTAACCCTTAAGGTAATTTTCCCACATTCGTTACCTCTTCATCTTTTAAGCCTTCTTCTTCCATCATTTGTTCTAGCTTCTTTTGTCTATAGCAGAGAGAAATTAGAAAAATAAAGGTGGTATTGTTAACATCGTTTCTTAATCACATGTACATATCCCACACCTCTGCTCTGTGCTTGCTGCGAAAGGAGGCTGTAAATAACAACTGTAAATGATATATAAGGGACAATCAGACATGAGATTAATTTTGAAGAATCTATTATTACAGCTTTACCATTCCAGTCTACTCAATTCTCTTTAATTTTGACAATCTAAACCTGTCTCGAGTTTCATGTCTTATTCGAGTGTATGTTTTCGTTGTTTAGGCACACAGATTAAGGAGATCTGGGTTCAATTCTTGTCTCTCTCTCCAACAGCTGGGCAAGTCACTTAAGGCTGGAGCCATAATAAATATTTAAGCACCAAAGCCTCACTTATTCCAGGGAGAATTGGCTGTCTACACATCTCTGTGGATCCGTACTGTAATTTCTCTGCATCTCAAATTCATCACACGCAAAATGAGAAAAGTTACTCTCCGTTTCCTAATACCTGAGATACTTAAAATATTTGGGAAGAGGAAACCTGTCTGTACACATTCTCCCCCCTTAAAGAATCAGAAATATTTCCAGCCTTGGTAAAAAAATTATTACTTGGGAGCAAAGAAAGGAAGGAAACAGGACTTCAGGGGCCATCTGTTATAATTACCCTCTGGCAACTCTTCCCCAGCAATGATCACATTAATAACTGGCTGAACTGGGAGTGGTGCTTGGGGGTTATTCCCTCTCCATGTGTGTTTTTATTGGTATATGTTCTAAAAAATTCTTTCTCTTTATGCAAGTCATTCTTCGCGAGATCCTCTTCCTGTCTCCTGTGCCACTACGCAGCTGCTGCGACACGATAATATTTTGGGTTATCGTTTCCACGATCAGGCACATTTTAAAATTGCTTTGCCCTTGTCGAAGTACCCCGTGAGCACTGTCCGGTCACCTCCTCTCACACTCAACGCCACGACTCCAGTAGCAGGCGGCGACTGCTGCGGAATTACACAGCTCAGCGTGACCAAGAGATGCTGAAATTCCCCCAAATAGCCTTAATGGGTCCTATCTGCACTTCAGCGTACATTTTGTCAACACCATTTAAACTCCAAATTCCACATCCACACACATCTATTGTTAAAAAAAAACATGTAACTTCTAAAGCCCAGTATGTTTGTTCAGACAAAGTCGTGAACCTACACAGAAAAAAAACCTGTCATTGAGGTTTCGGGAGTAGACAATAGCGCTCATAATAAAAAGCAAGAGCTACGGCACAGAGAAAGAAAGGAATTAACAACGGGCACAAGTTGGAACAGAGGAAGTTCCATTCCAACACACGGAGAACCTTCTTTACGGTCGGGGTGGCAGAGCAGTGGCACAGGCTGCCCGGGGGGGTGTGGAGTCCCCTTCTCTGGGGGTTTTCAAGCCCCGCCTGGATGCAGTCCTGAGGGATGTGCTCTGGGCAGTCCTGCTTCAGCAGGGGAGTGGGACGAGATGATCTCTAGAGGTCCCTTCCAACTCTGAAAATTCCGTGATTCCGTAATTAAATCAGTGATATTTTCTGTTGGGATTAAACCTCCATCTCTCCTTACTAATTTGAAGCTTTGAGGAAAAGATGTACGCGAGTTAGTATTTATTTCTAAATCGCTTTTTCATTTCTGCAGTTACTGTAGTTCGCAGGATCCCTCTTGGATCCAGTTCGGGTTTTGGCAGCACGGCTGCAAGCGAACGAACACTGAACCGTCTCGAAAACTGTGATTATAGACTACATGGCAAGTTGGGAGAACATCAGAAGCCCCAGCGCTACGACTTGAGGGTATTCAGCAAATTAGAGGGTTCCAGCCGGAGGAAAGTAAAAGCAATACTTCTCAGTTAAATCACTTTTTATATTTTGACCGATGTATTTACGGAGTCGCCGCGGGTTCCGCTAACTCACAGAGAAGTTAGCATTAAGTGACAGTCCTCACAGCAATCCCTCACTGTCTTGGAAGAAGTTATCTTCCTTTATCAGCTGACTCGATCACCCACTATAATCCAAAGTGAAAGTGATGCTGTAGAATGAGTTTTAAACATTACAGCCGGGGACATAAAATGGGGAGAGGCGGAATAAACGTTTGTAAACGGTACTTCAGTATCATACTCGAATGATCCTGAGCACATCCCAAAGTCAGTTTCTACTTAGTCACATATATGTTTTTTTAAAAACCTGATAACAGTTGTATCACTTTTACATTTCAGTTCATTTCAGAAGAAACTCCAAAAGCTCCAGCCTGAACTACCGTGGGATTCCGAAGCCCAGGAGCTGCCTGCGGATGCTCATGCCAGGCCCATCTCAGGAGCTTCGGTTCCCGCTCAGCTAAAAACACTCTAGTTCTGCTTTGGCTCCAGAAAACTAAATGCGGTTAGTATGTATTTTTGGCTCTTACCCAGTTTGGAAAGGAAGCAAGAAAGATTTTTACCTCATCTCTCGTTCCTCATGCTGCGCGATGAGATTGCTGTAGAAGTTTTCCAACGTCACCTTTGTCATCGTAACTCGCTCCTTGGTGTGATTACTCATGGACGAGCACGGCGTTGGGCCCGTCATTGCCATGGCTAGTGAAAAAGGGATGGAACATTTAACATTATAAATGACAAATAACCTTCAAACAAGAGCTGCAATCCATTCAGTGGTGCTGAATCACAGATTTAAGATTTTAACAACGAACGCGAACAGCCCAGTTGTCTAAACGAAGTAGGGGAAAGTCTTACAAAATAAAAGGTACAAGTCAAACTTCCTGTTTTGAACATTTTTGATCTGAAAATAAGAGGGAAGGAAACTTGAGAAACACGATGCCTCAAAAACCACAATTTCAGGCAGTGCTGCAAGTGTTTATTCCTCCCAATATATATTTTATCTGTAATAAATTGTTAAAAATTCAGAAACATCCCCCTGAAACATCTAATCCCCGAGTTCCTCTTCCTTTGACCCTTGCAGAAATCCCTCCGTCACTCCCCCACCGTCTCCTCTGCTGTGAAATTAATCAAAACCCTCAGAGCCATCTCATAACGCGGCAATCCAAGGAGGAGGAAAAAAAGGCATTTTGTTGCATTTAAGCACTCTCGCTTTTACTAGATGCTTTCATGCGGAAATCTGGCAAAATCCAGAAGACCGCTGCCTTTGAACAAATTGTAGTTTAAGGAAAAAACCCTCTAGTGTAAGTATCCTGCATTTACATACGGCATTATGTGTCAGAGAATGCCACTTCCAACCGGCAGCGCAGCTTCAGGGCATATTTTACTTTCTAAAAATGCATTAAAATGCAAAGATTTCAGGTATAAAACTACCTCTGAGTCTAGTTCTCCCGGTCACAACGTAACTCTCCGTAAGGTAACCGAGTTTTGCAACTATTACTAGAAACTGCAGCCCAGTGCAGGTCCCACACGCGCTTCCCGTTTTTACGACGCCGGGGCGCTGCCAATATTTTACGAGTTATTTTTTTTCTGTTTGTTTTTTGCAGATCTTTTTACAAGGCATCGTTATCGTGCCTTTGCAAATCGCCTCCTTTACAGACACCAGCTATTTTGTTCGCCGCGTTTACGGGCTCGTTCACGGGCAAGCCAACGCGGGAGCCGGTAGGAACCTCCAGCTCCGTGCGGTTTTGGGGATGGAGCTGCATCTTTACGGAGGAGCAGCTCCGAGTGACACCACGCGAGTGGCAGGTCGCGTTCTGCGGGCACAGGAGATGGCACGTTCCATCCCAGCCCGCTGGTTTTCACTTCCTAAGGAACAGAACATGAACATTATCTGACAGACCCCAGTTCCGAAGGGGGTGCGGCCAAAAAAAAAAAA